ATATATATTAATAATTATTATATATATGACTATAAATTTATATAATTAGTAAATACTTGGCATAAAGAAAGCCACTTGTATTTCTTGGTTTAACAACTCCATATTTCGAAGCCTTAATTTTTCATTCCCCTAAAAAATTAACATTCACTATCAACATTTTAACATTAACAAAATAATATTGACATAACCCAAACATGTCTGAATCATTCTGAATTTTCAAAGCCCAAATACATTAACAGTGGTGAGATCACTATAGTCAGCAATTAATAGTTCTAAAATTGAATAGTACCTCACTGAGCTCATTAATCGGAAATATCTCCTCTTTTTGCTCTGTAAGATTCACCTTTAGCTAAGGTCTCTGATTAACCAAACAATGTGTACAGAAGATGCATCAGACATTTTAGAAATCATTTCATACAGTATCAATCAGCTGTGGATTGAGAATAACTTAAACCTTGCATTCTGATAGGTCTTTTCATATAATCAAGAGAAGCAATGATGTGCAGAACTAAATAAAGAAAATTATTATGATTACCATTATTCTGTTTAAAGTTAAGGAATCTTTTAAAACTCTTAATAGTTCAATTAGCAACTTAGATATCTAGTTATTTTATTTATTTTGGTTTTTGTGGTGCTGGGTAATGAACCCGTGACCTTGTACACGATAGGCATACTCTACCACTAAGCTATATCTCTGGTACTTTAAATGTCTATTTTAAAGGCCTGTAGCAAAAAATTCATAGAAATGTATAGCACACACTTAAAGCTTCCATGTAAAATTTGTCAGTTTTATTTTTAATCAAGTCTTTTTCACCATGCCTCATTAACAAATTACTATATTTCACTGAATGGGTGGGGCTGGTGAAGGGAGGTTGCATACAATTTTAAATTATAGGCAAAGTTTTAATTTCATACATATGCATACATACTCATTTTTCCTGGGAGAACCTTTATAGAGTTCACTAGATTTTCAAAACAGGTCATGATCAAGATCTTCCTGAGTTTTGCCTCTGTGTAATTTCTTACTTGGCTAGACAGACTAGAATGCAGAGGAAAGAACTAAAAAAAATTTTAATTGATGAGGAGGGTGGGAATCTATCCTCTCTTGTATACTTTTATACAGGAAGACTCCAGTTTCAATAATCCATGATCTGAGATTTTGTGTGCCTCTCATAGAAACCACAGAGGACCAGATATGTGTCCACTTGGAGAAAGCCAGAGTGATAGAGTGTCTACTCAGCTCTGCCCTGCAATTCTGCCCTCTTGCTTTGGCCCATGCCTTTTGTTGCTGCCAGACCATTTCCCACAGACACTAAAACAGACATATCTAATTCAGGCCATGATGCTTTACAATAAATGAGGCTAAAACATTGAAACTGCAACTTCCCTGAAAACTTGGAGATGGATTTAGTACAAAATCAACTAATACCTTAGCAGCAATCCTCATGTAAAAGCTAGAGGACTAATGTTGTAAAGAACTTTGAAACATTGCAAAATACACTTTTTTGTTTGGGAGATTAGATGTTCATCTTATCAAGTAGAATGGGTGTTCCAATTGTTGTGACTTCTTTACAACTTTCAAGTGACTGTGATGCTATATGTGCCACTGAGCTGCCATGTTTTCCATTTTAGCAATGTCGAGCTACCTCTTTATCATTAAATATGAACTACCTGAAGTAATCAGAGCATTCATGGGACTTGAAGAAAATTCTGGGTATGTTTTCTGATCTCTTTTTGACATCAAATAACTCATTCTGCTTGATCTTTTCTGGTCCTGACATCCTCATCTTTTCTTTCCTAGGGAATGGTACCTCAATGGCAACTACCTCATCATATTTGTGTCTTTGGCAATTATTCTTCCACTTTCTTTTCTTAAAAATTTAGGTAAAGTCATTCTCTAAGTGAAAATATTTTTTTATTTCATATTCTAAGAGGTAAACTGTTTGTAAATGTCATGTGCACCTTTCAAAATATTTCTGCTAACTTCTAGGTTACCTTGGTTATACCAGTGGATTTTCTCTTACTTGTATGATGTTTTTTGTCAGTGTGGTAAGTGATTTTTTGTTGACATGATTCTTGTAGCTTGGTGAACATGAGATGCATTTAGTGCCTCAGTTAGTATTCTTGGATCATGAGCAACTTTATTGTGTTTTAATTTGGAACAAGAAAAGAGCAGTCATGAGTTTAAAAATAGTTGAGTTAGGATGTCAAGGCCATTGCTAAGGGTATGCTCCATGCACACTGGGTGAACATTTGGATACAGGGCCATGACAACAATCCAGTACTTAGAAGGTAAAGGAAGAAATGAAGAGCTATAGAAGAGAAACCAGTAGGCTACACCCATACTCAGAGAAATCCGCCATTTTCTCTTCCACACTTGGCTTGGTAAGAGAGGGCAACCACTGTGGAACTAAAGAAATTTCACTGCTATTAAAGAAAGGAAGTTTCTTGGAATATCACAGATACCAAATTTATAAAGCATTTCCCTAAAGGAGCAGAAGAGGAGCGAAAATTTAATGACCCATGTAATCAGAAATAAAATAGGAAATGTAGCAAAGAAATGACTACCATCTTTGTCTCAGAAGGGCATGAAAGGCTTGCAATGGGCTCATATAAAATTTGGTTCTACTGACTCCTAGTGAGACCTCTGAGTAGTGCTGCCAATCATAGTTCCATATTTTTTCTTAGAACACAGGCTAGCTGGAATCTCCATGGCCCATTAGTTTAAAAACAATCTTTGGCTGAGTTCCCTCACCCCTACCTCATAAGCCACAAATTTTTTTTCCTCAAAAACATAACCTTTTGTTTTTCTTCTTCTTCTTAAATGTCTGGGTCCAGGTGATTTACAAGAAATTTCAAATACCTTGCCCTCTGCCTATGGTGGATCACAATGTTGGCAATCTGACATCCAACAACACACTTTCAGTGCATATGATAACACTGCCCAACAACTCTGATAGTACTGGTGTGAACTTCATGATGGATTATACACACCGAAATCCTACAGGGCTGGATGAAAACCAGGCTGAGGGCTCTCTTCACGGCAGTGGAGTGGAGTTTGAAGCCCATAATGACAAGTGTCAACCAAAATACTTTGTATTCAACTCCCGGGTAAGTTAGAGACCTGGGTTTCTCATGAGCTTGGTAATGTGGCCTCTGGTTTTTTATTTCATAAACTGAGATGGCCTAAGATTGCCATCTGTGTTGGGATGTTAAACATATGGTATTGTCTTTGTTTTACAGACGGCCTATGCAATTCCTATCCTAGCATTTGCTTTTGTATGCCACCCTGAAGTCCTTCCCATCTACAGTGAACTTAAAGAGTAAGGAACCCATCATTTTAGCATCCTAATTTGCTTTGAAAATATGCTCATATGTTCAAAGGTGCTTTACAAGAAGCACAGATTATAGCTTTCTCTTCAGAGAAAGTTTGTATTACAGCCATTTGGCAGTAATGTACTTTAACCAGTAAGGTATGACTCAGCGCATACACTGCATCACCTTGCCTTCTTCCTGTCTCTTCTCCCTCTGCCACATGGGTCAGGGGAGGGGATCAGGGTAAGTGGAAGCGGAACCAATGGGTGTAGCAATATTTACAGGTATAAGGAATTTGAGTGTGAATTTATTGGGTAGAAGCGGTGTCACCTGGGTTGGAAAGGACAACACTCCAGAAGACCAACACTTATGATGAGGGTAGCCTTACTATGCCCTGAGGTCATGCATGGTCAGTTTCTAACCTTTTTCTAAAAGGCATTCCCATAAGAGATGTGTCACCATCTGGTCTTCATTGTCTTATCTGTACAATGCAGCCATAAAAACATTTCGAACACTTTCAATGATTTTAATGTCTTTGATTTACTTTGAAAATCACACGCAGCATGTACTGCAGAAGGCTGTTCATTGACCGTTGGGTGGGCACCCTTTAGAGTGGTTTCGAGAATTTGTCCAAGTAAAAATCTCAAGCTTCCTAGTGGTCTAAAACCTTAGCAATAGTACTTTGCTGGTTCCAGTTGTTATTTTTTGTCTCATTAAGCTTTTTACATTAGGAAACAGTTTGATCCTTATGTCAATTATATTAATTATTCAGTTGGTGGGCTTGTTTATTGACGTGAAGTAGACTATTCCTTTTCTAGGGAAACAATTGTTTCCAAGGTTGAATGAGTACAGTGTTTAAGAAAAATGGAAACAAACTCTCCTTCCCTCTTTAAGACAAATTTAAATCAGATATAAGTTTATGTACTAGAAATGTAATTTCGTAATTGGCAATAGACATACATTCTTTCAATGTTTTTCATTTAAAAAGTGATACTTTTATATGTTTAAAAAAATTAAAATCAATGTTCTTTTTACTTTCAGTCGGTCCAGGAAGAAGATGCAAACAGTGTCAAATATTTCTATCACTGGGATGCTTGTCATGTACCTGCTTGCTGCCCTTTTTGGTTACCTAACATTCTATGGTAGGTCACCTTGTCAAAGTCATTCACTTTGTGTGAATCCTGGCAAGACTGTTAACTCACAGGTGTAATCCTTTAACTTACCCTCTACAACAGCATGAACTGTAGATGACACATACCCAATTAACATGTTATTTTAGCTTTGTCGATTGACCTAGGAATGAACACTGGACCCATCTGGCTAACAAGTTACTGTGAATTCACATGTACTTTATTTTTTAAAAAATCTCTAAAATTAAATTATTTCTTTGACTAGACTGTCTAGTCCATTTCAGGCTAGAAGCAATGAGGATGCATCTAGTTGCATTTAATAAAACACTTTTGATAAAATAACTAACTGCCAAGGAAGTGACAGAAAATTAACAGTATTCTTGAGTTTTAACTTGTGTTTTTTGGGGGTGTTCTTTTGGTCTGTTTGTTTTGAGACAAGGTCTTGCTGTGTAGTTCAGGCTGGTCTTAAATTCACTGTGTAGTCCAAGCTGGCCTTGAACTCATGGCAATTTTCCTGGCTCAGCTCTCCAAGTGCCAGGATTTCAGATGTGTGACACCATGCCCCGCTGAACTTGCTTCTTATTTATCAGTCAAGTCCCTTTTGGAAGCTTGGAATGTTAGATAAAATTTCAGGCTTATCTTACTCTATTCTAAGAAAAGGATATAACAGAATTTCCTTTGATCTGGGATTATGCTACAAAAACAAAGAAACAACAACCAAAAAAAGAAAAAGCTGATTGTGGCCACATTTGATTACTTTAAACATTTTCCTTTGAAATCTTAATAGTACCCCCAAAGAGTATCTTTGTTATTTCTTCCATAAAATGTGGCCCTATAGATAAATGTCACGGAATCAAATATAACCCTGGTAGCATATGTTCACACTAGTCAATATATCGACTATATTTTTGTGTAAGTCTCTATAATTTTCTGGATTTTTTTTTAATTGACTTGATAAATTAAATTAACTATGTGATGAGTTGGGAGGAAACAACATTGTGGTAGGCCATCATTTCATGGGTTTGTTTTCTATTTGAATTATATTTGACTTTTAACCAGGCACTTACTTTAGACTGGGCATTAACTTACTGCTGGTTGTGGTTAATGAAAGTCAAGGTTAATAGCATGAAAATTATTTTTAGCCCTTTTTGTCTGAACTTGAGAAGAATAGTGGGAACATCAAACTACATCAAATTCCATAAATGTCTCCTTGGCATTTGTGTCTCAGATTCTGAATGAATGTGTTTTCTAGGAGGGTTTACTTAAAGAACTCCATAAGACAAACAAGTCTTGAAAAAACCCAAGAATGTGTGTTTTGGTGTTGTAATGGAGTCATAATTGTTAATCTTTAAAATGTTAGAGATAATTAGTCCTGGAGTTTCCATAATGGGCTTGGAGAAGTTTTATCAAGGATGGCTGGGCAGATGGGGCCAGAGGAGGGTGGTGGGATGGGGAGATTGTGGGGATTGGATATTTCATCCCCTTCCACGGGAGCATCTTAGTGTGATTGCTCATGCTTTTCTACAGCAGAGATTGATTTATTATGATACAGGTAACCTTAAGAAGGGCTTTGGCAGTTTTCTTTTAGCTCCTGCAACTTCATTCATTTGAACAAAGTTCACATAGCTGACAGTTCAGAGACAAGAATAAATGTGTCTGGATTCCCTGACCTGAATCTCCCACTGTCCTGTTTTCCTTCTGTAAAATGCTATAAGTAACTAGTGTTTAAGTAGCCCCAGGTGGATGGATTCACTCTCCTCTTCCCCCTTGTAGGAGAAGTTGAAGATGAATTACTTCACGCTTACAGCAAAGTGTACACATTTGACACCCCTCTTCTCATGGTCCGCCTGGCAGTCCTGGTGGCAGTTACATTAACTGTGCCCATTGTTCTGTTCCCAGTAAGTAATATAAATCTCTGGTGATAGAAACCTCTTTAGTACTATGTCTGACTTGATGTGGTCTTAATTATAATGAAAGTTTGCAATTGCAACACCCACAGCATTATTACTCTCACATAGCATTTTGGAGCCACTTAAAACTAGCCATTTAATATTTTTATACAGTAAATATTTGAAGGTGGTATTTTTAAAATGCAGGGGAAAATCATGATATTTATTTTTAAATTCAAATTCAGAAAGCAGAGCTTGAACTGCTACCTTGTAGACTAGGAAAAATGAGTAGGAGTTCATATAACTTCTGAAATGTGAAAGCCAAAACCACTTTAACTCTCAGATCACATTGCATTTTTTCCACAATTTGGAAGATGTTTCAGTTTTTCCAGTTTGTTGTACTGAAGTAACATCCCAAATTAGCTTCTTTTATCTGGTCTTGAAGGCTACTGAGAAGGGGATTGACATTAAGTAAATTACATACTAGAACAAAGATTCTCAAAAAAATAGTTATGTTATCCATCGTGTATCTCTTCCCCCAACTGCACCCAAAGTGATGGATGCCTTCTGGAAGACACAGACTCTGACCACCCCTCTTTGGCATTTGCCATGGGTGCCATTTTGTTCTGAGATCATGGAACAGGGCTAGCTGCCAAGATGTGTTAAACCACCCACTATGGATGAACACAGGTCTTTACCTGCCTGCCAGCTCTTCTCTTTTCATAAGTACTCACTTTACTCAGGAGCAAAAAAAAAAAAAAAAAAAAAAAAAAG